AGCGAGCCGAGCGGGGCCCCTTTGGGATCTGCCGCTCCCGGGAGCCGTTTCTTGCTCAGCATGTCTGGGCCAGAAGCGTCATGGCCGCAGGGCCCTGGAGGGGCTGGGACGGGCACGGGGGACGAGCCCTCTCTTAAAGAGATCGAGCAGCTCCTAAATACCAGGGGACCCTCTTGTAACCACGTTGATGAAGTATGGCCTAATCTCTTCTTAGGAGACCTGTAAGTAAAGCCTGATGGAGTGACTGAAACTTGGCACCTTGGGGGTACTTCTTGTCTCTTTCAGCTTCTTACTGTCCTTGCACTTCTACATATTGGTGTGATTTATAGGTATGGCTTTCGGTAGGTAATAGTTTTCTCAATTGACATTTATGCTGCAGACAGCAATGAATCTGAGAGATTATGACCAAGTGGGTAGTTAATTGTTGGTTAACCCGGTGAAACATCATGTTGGCCTACGATCCAGCAAACAGCTTGGGAGATACCGTCATGGGGTTTTCCCTGCTCTGTTAATCTCCCCGCAATCATCTTGATCTGCTCATGTTTGTCTTTTCCACAGTGTAACAGCTCACAACAGATTCACTCTGTGGAAGATGGGCGTTACTCATGTTTTAAATGCTGCCCATGGCACAGCGTACAGCCAAGGAGGCCACGACTTTTATGGAGCTACCATCGATTATTATGGCGTGCGAGCCTACGACCGGCCAGACTTTGACATAAGCCAGTTCTTTTTCTCTGCATCGGAATTTATTCACAAAGCTTTGAACACACCAGGAGGTATGAAATTGTTGCTGTTCACATTTTCGTGTTAGTTGACAGCCCCCTGAAACAGGTCAATTCCACAAGCACAGTGGTGGACTGGTCAATACATGGTTTCCTGCTAGTTGTTAGTGATCTGCACAGTGGGTGTCCAGAGGATGGAGGCAGCTGTAACTAGATCCTGAAAAATTAAGGAAGACTGCAGGAAGCGGAAGGGATAAAAAGGATGAAAAATGCAGGGGAAAGACTGGAGTATAGAAGAAAGGAGACAGAACAGAGAGAAAAATATCTGTGAGAAAACACTGATTCAAAGAGAGAAGAAAAACATACATTTCA